ATAGCCATTACAGATAACCGATATACGACTTATTTTATTGTACATTATACTTATTATATATATATATGTATAATGTCTGGTTTTTTTTTATTATTGTACACGTTTTTAATGGTTTTCGTTTATACACAAGGATAATAAATTGTAGTTGAAATACACCTCAACCTGCCACCTGCGGTATACGCTACAGAAATTCGGGTCGAAATACGTCGACCCTTCATGAGGCTATACATACAATGTTTATAAGTGGTTATAAAGTCGAAGGTCGGTAATAAATCGTGTGCATTTATATACTGGGTGATTTTACAAACATGCTCACCCCATTTTATTTTCGATATTGTTATTTTTAATAAACATATAATTGTTGTATAACATTTTTAATTATAAGTACTTTATTTTTTTCTTTTAAATACAAATTATAAAAAATTAGATTTTGATTTTATGTATAATGCATAATTATGGGTCAGCCAGCTTAAAAACACCCTGTATAATTTACACTACAATATCTACTAGCTACAAGTTTTTATTTCAACGGTGTAAAAGAAAACGACTGTTATCGAATGATCAATGCACGATCGGCGCCACCAAGTCGCCTCATCAACACGAAAATCCCCTCGTTGCCTGAAACGTAGAAACACTTTACCTACTGAAAGGTTAAAAATGGAAAAATATATTTACTATACTGAACACAACGTCGTGTTTAATGTAAAAATAAATATGAAATCTGAAATGTGTATGTTGTAATGAATTGAATGTAGGTATGTACTTATACGTAAATGTATATTGAAAAAAGTTTTTGCAAAAAATTGCTGACAGCTAATATTTAATATAATATATAATTTATTACATACAAAAGTGAGTCGGTTCTTGAAACTATCATTATCCGTTTATTTACAATAACAATTTGTTTAATAATTCATTCGTTAGTTGTTTTATAATTATGTTTTGTTTCATGTATACGATTGTGTTTTTCGTATTTCTTTTATTGATATCAAATTAATTAATATCCTACTCTTAACAATTAGTGACAATTATTATAGAAAAGATGATTTTTTTGTTTATGTAATTATGAAAATAATAAGTTATCAATTTTTAGTTAATCATACCTCTCAACCTTTTTTTACGACCACAATTTAATTTAGATCTATACAAATTTCGACACACTTAAAATAATTAATGGATTTTTGAAATATCATAAACTATAAGCCTATAATCGGTATATTATATAAGTTGAGAATTAGAAAATATTCACAACAGTTTATCTTCTGCGTGGTTTTACCATCACGTCATAATGCTAAAATAATGCCATATATTTAGTGGGTTTGGCAAAATCCGGTGTTCGCTTTGAACACTTTTTACTTACATCGAACACGATTTGTTTGGTCGCGCCATACTGGTTAAGCAAACTATTGCTACAGAGAATAGTGAGACATCCGTTGTAGTTTGGTATGTCGGGGAGTCGTTGATATATCATTTAGTAACATTAAATTGTTATTTTATTATGCAGGTATCACATTCATATGCATTGTTTAACTTGTTTTGAGAGTTTTTAATTAACAATCTGTTATAATAATTAAATACTTTATAAAAATAAATGTATGTAATAATAATAAACGTTTTTGTGGTGTAATTGAGTGACAATCTAATTAATTATTTTATTTATCACATCGATAATTTATTTTTATTTATATATCATTATTATTTCAGAATATTCTTATAATTTTATCTATATGTATATTATTTATATGTTTGGTTAAACTGTTTTCTTTTGACGCCTACATGTAAAATATATATACGCTGATGAAACTATAATAAATCAATGAATGACTTATTAATAACCATTTTATATTCGTATCAACATTCAATTACAATACTTATTTATAACATTTACATTACCTTGAATAATTTGAAAATTATCAATATATTTGTTTAATTAGTTCCGATGGTAAAACTGTAAAAGTACTATATTAATTATATGTTTTCTGACTGGAACTAGAGTGTATATTATTATAAATATATCACAGTTAATGCACAAAAAAGTTTGTGTCAAAAACTTAATAACACATTATTTAAATCAAAAGACCACGAATAAATTATCTATTTTAAGTTTGTCAGTGATGATTGTGTTATACACATTTATGGGATTAAATCTATACCATTATAACGTCTTCTTTAAGATTTGAATCAAAGCAGACGAAGTAACCAGCATTGTTTCATTAAAATCAAGATGCAACGTTGTTACAAGTCTTATTACACGTTCTCTTGTATAACCATATATAAACCATTCAATTACTCTATATTAATATGATTTTTGAACCATTGAATCGATAGAAATTGTTTATAAGTTGTTATTTATCTGAACAACAATACCTATAGATATTTTTCATATTCTGCAGTAGAATATTGATATAATATATTATTTATAGTATTTTAATGTACAAAACTCAAATAAGTAGTTATTTTGTTGGTGTATTCAAAAAAAAAAAAATAAAAAAAAACTTTAAAATCATTTAAACACACAAATAGATGAATTTTGAATTAAAATGCGACTGCGTTCGAATAGTAAAAAATTAGCTCTACTCATAATGCAAGAAGCCCACATTCGATATAATTTTTTATTTTGCCCGTGAAAAGATGTAATAGTATTGAATTTGCAAATGAAATCGCCTGCTCGAGGATAATGATTTTGTATTGCTGCCTCAAAAAGGCCTCAGTAGCTACACCTTGTACCATGAAGGGTAGGCAACCTAATGCTCACGCCATAGACTGGAGGTGAAACACACGGTAGACATTATGCGGTCATCGCGCGCGTGGTAACTATGTGGGTACCATGATATAATTAACATGGTATGGCAGCAACTTTAACGAAACTGAGATACTACTGAGTGTTAATGGAATAAACCTTATTTTATCAACTATGCCATGAAATATTGACGTCACTTGGTCCAGTTCCAATTTTATTTAAAATTAAAATAAGGTGGCAATATGATAATTTTAAATGTACTAAAATAAGACTATTTTCGGATCTTAGAATTAATTGTCCAATGATTCTCTATAATATAAATAATGATATATATGCATATTGTATACGTATACAGGGTGAACTTTTTGTCACGAAATTATTATTTCACTAAGTAACACTAGTAAAAGTATAACTCTAATAATTTATTATAACTACTACTAACTATAACTCATAAACTACTTGTTTAAAATTAGATTTGTATGTATCGACGTACTCTTAAAAATATTCTGCAATACATCATGAAGTAATAAGTATTGTGTGATATAAAAATCACTCTTTATAATACAATATTATTCATTAGTATTATTTTACAATGTATGTTTTTTTAATTAACATTGTATAAAAATGTGATTTATGTCATAAACTTGTGCTGTTGTTTTCTGAAAAATATATTTTATAACATTATTACCATTATCAAGTTGTTTTGTTTTATTTATTGTACTTATAAACCCATCAACGTCCCTAATATGCCTAAATGTGCAGTAGCAACTTGTAAGGGATCTAAGTCCCCAGATAAAAGGATTTTGCTTCATAGATTTCCTAAAGAGGTTAGTATGCAGAAAACGTGGGTTAAATCATGTGGACGAGTTGACAGTATAAATGTACATACTGGTGAGTAGATAATATTTTATATACAAATATTTTATTATACTTTTATTTGTTATATTATATTTGTGTAACTATAACTATTCAGAAAGAATATGTTCTCGACATTTTCATAGTAGTGACTATTTTAAGCCACTAATTCAAAAAATGCTCGGATATTCACCAAAATCTTCAAAAAAACTGAAAGTTGATGCTGTACCATCTATAAAAGTGGTATATTTCACATTTATTATAATACAAGATGTATATTTTGTTTATACTGATTAAAAAAATTATTTATTTACTTCCTTGTAGCCAATATGTTTGAAAAGCCCTCGAACTTCTAGCAGGACAGTATGGATATAAAACTGAAAAGTTGTATGACAATGAAGCTGCAACTAGCTGGATACAATTAATGTGTAACGGCCATTTGATAACCCCATCAAATGAACCTCTGTTGGCAGCAAAATATATGGAAGATGAGTTCAAAAAACTACATGGTAACAGTATTAATAGAAGCACTAATATAATGGAACAACTATTTAATACTGTTAAACAACTACATAATTTACCCGATGAAGTGATAAAATGTTTGGTAAGGACAAGAACATTTATTCGCTTCAATGCATTGAATAAGACAATTGAAAATGACATGCCTAAAAATATAACAAAAAAAAAATAAAATTAGAAAATGTATGGCGTAATCTGCAAATGTGACATGTGCATAATTTTTTACTGTTTTGTATTGGGTAATTGGGTTTTCAAATAATTAGAGCAATAGAATATAAACAAAAAGGTAAGTGAAGAGGTAAGTATTAAACCCAGTAACCATGTTATAATTATATCATGACACTATGACAGTAAGTATCACTTAAAGAAAAATGAATAATAATAAGTAACTTTTATATAATATAAATTACAGCATTATTTTTTCGACTGCTTGCCATTCAAATTGCTAAATATTATCCAATTCTAATGTATTTTACTGTAATTATACTAAATAGTAAATAGTTATTAGTATGAATAGGTACATTAAGATTTAGGATGTAATCATCTGGTTAATTTATCATGGCCCATGATTCATGATTCATGGGATATGTAAATGAAAATAATTATCAGACATAATATTATAACTTAAAAGTAATCAAGTCAACATTTTTACTTTCAAATAGACAAGGTAAGTACATTCATTTTTAATTACAATTGCAAAATTAATTAAAAATATAAATAAAAATCATACAAAATTCAACGGTAAAACCACAATTAGATATTTTAAATAAAAAAATAATAAGTGATAACAACGTATTATAACAGGCGACGGACCGAATGACGTAGGCACCATGCGTAGAGCTCTGTTGCTGTCATACCATGTTAATTAAATCATGGTGGGTACATACTACATAGCAGGGCTTGAAACCGCTCCCGATAATTTTGGTTGACTAGAGTTCATATTTATCAACATATTAGTAGCACTGTTTTGAGAAGATGACTGGAGAAATGATTCAAGATCATCATCTGGATCCATAACATTCTCTTCGTGTGCTTCAAAATATTGAGCATTATTAATATTTGCTTCATTTTCATTTCCCGTCAACTGTTCAATTATTTTCCAAGTTTTTTGTAAATGATCCATTGCTTCTATTTTACTTGTATCATTTAGCAAACACTGAAACCTTGGATCCATAAATAGAGTTATAAACAAATATCATAGTATATAATATATTAATATACCTAGGTATTATTTATCAATATGTATTATTTTTGTTTACATGAAATAATAATTAATAAATTAATAAGTAATTATTATACCTGAGCTGAATATTTGATTTTCAAATAAAGTTTTTTGTCGCTTTTCCATTTACTTTGCTATAATTAGATAATGCTGTGTTTTTTTTTTAATTTTGAAATAATTTTCCATTAACAACCGAAGAAATCTCCCATTGTAATATCATGTTTTTGAACAAAAATTATTCCATCTCTAGCAGGTTGAAGTGAATCAATCTATCAATTAATAAATAATAAAAATATTTTTATACCGAGATGCACGCCTCCACGATCCGAAAATGTTAACTTCTTCCAGATGAATCTCCAGCGGAGTGTCACTGCCCAGAGCCTTCTGCAGCAGTCCTCGATCGAAAGGGGAGCCCACGTCCTCCTCGTTTCCGAACAAAACTGGAGTCCAACATGCGACGACAGATGGACCGTCAGCAACACGAGTTCAGGAAAGTTATTAATTATTTACCTTAGTGTGTATCAATTAATATTTCGTACGTAACACCGCAATTGAGCTCCACGACCCCAGTACTCTCAACTCCAAATTTTGACTCGAAACCTATACCAATCGTTTGTACCTCGTGTGTACCTGTTTGTTCCCCAAGTAAAATCGTTTGTACCTCAACGGTTTTCAAACTGTCCCTACTTCGATTTTGGGGGTGCCGAGGAAACAGTGGCACCCCCACCTCCAAATTTTGATTCGAAACCAATATCAATCTTTTGTACCTAAAGAAAATAGACACAATATTTTGACGAAGTTAGATCCCTCTCCCGATGTAGGTATATATTATACAAAGTTATCTACAAGATATTGGTGAATCGAAAATTTCTGAAAAATCCACAGGAGATAGTGAATCAAAAATAAATTTCAAAATTGCACTATCTATAGATCAATGGGAGGCAATTTATGATTCAGTTAACTCTCGAGTCTATAAAAGATCAGATGGAAAAAACATGACTCGTGAATATCAAACTCTGAAACCTTATGAATGGTCTCCGATCATTCAAAGCTATTTTTATGTGTCAACTAAACTTCCATGTTGCGTAAGTTATAAGAATGCAAAGGTGCGTCCAAATGGTGAGATTTTCCTTAAAATAAATGGAAAATGCACTGTATGCTTAAATAACTTTCAAGTAGTTGTCATTGTTCAACCATTATCTATAGATATACTTACAATAGATTCCATCTATCAAGATAGATTTAGGAATTGTAAAAGTTCTGATAAAAAAAAATTAATTGGAAACAAACGGGAACAATTAAAAAAAAAATCAACTAACGAAAATCAATCCGCTGCTTATGTACAACGTGTCGAAGCAATGGGCGTAATGGAATATGGAGATAAAACACCGAGTCATTTGCCATCTGCGAATGCTCTTCGGATTCTTGTATAAGGCATTGAAGGATGAATAAGTGAATTCTGACCCAGTTATTGCACTGTCAATATTAAAAGGTGCTTCACCATATAACACTATAATTAAAGATATATCGTATGACAAATTCTTTGTACATTATTGCCCCTACAGAAATTAACTCTTATCGTCTTAACGCGAAAAACACAGACGTCCAGAGAATATCAATCGATGCTACGGGAGGTGTAGTGAGAAGACCAACATTGATATCTGGGAGACAAACTTCTAATATTTTTTTATACCAAATAGGTGTAAGAGATCCAAAAACAAGTTGCCAATTTGCAGTAGGACACATGTTATCAGAAAAACATGGTCATAATACAATTTCATATTGGCTATCTGAATGGTTGAGAAATAAAATTCCATCCCCAAAAATAATAATAACTGACCAGTCTTTGGCCTTAATGATGGCGGTAACGAAAATATTTACTCAATATTCATACTTTACGAAATATATAAGTGTTTACTCTTCGTTCATTCCGATTGAACCTGGAGTAGAAATTCCAACAGTCATGATACGAAATGATTTTAACCACATAATGCACCTCTTGAGCTCGTGGCCAGAAATAAAGAATTCAACTAATAGAATACAAATTTTTTAATTAAGATCTATTGGGTTAATAATTGCTAGTACCGATTATACGGATATAAAACTATTATTGAAGCATATTTTCACTGTTTGTTTGTATGAGACAGATGGATTAAACTCATACAACCAAGCCACAAAATGTGAAATATCCAAAAGGTATTTGAAAAATAGAATAGCTACACACATAGTAGAATTAAATGTTGAATTTTTAAATGTAAGAGGAACTGAAGAAGAATAACCGAATGATGATTATACAGATGTCATTGAAGAAACTCCCAACACTACAATATTTTTAAAATTTAAATTGATTTTTGAAAATGTTAAATATGAAGTAGAGAATGATGATGAAGGGGACCATGATAATATGCAGTTCAATCCAAGTATTGCGAAAAAATTATTAAACTTCTGCAAATTAATGCCTACATGGTCTGCTCTTATGGTTCCTATATTTAAGTATGGAAACATAACTAAAAGTAGCACAACTTCAGAAAGTTTGTTCAATGACTTAAAAACAAACGTTTTCACACCTAAAAGTTTACCTTTACGCGTTGACAATTTTTTTTAAATTCACGCTAATTCAATTATCGGTTCGATGAATATAATCGGAAATACATTAGGTGCATCAAAACCTGTAATTCAGTGTAATGATTGTTTGATAGATACAAAAGATGAAGTAGTTGAAAACGAACAAAGTGGTTACAGTGGTTACCTAATCTTTCCTATTCACCAAGAATTGTTAGACCAACTTCTGTCACCACCAACTGCCAAATATTAGTTTATACAATATAATTTTTTTTAAATAGAGCTGTTTGACTGTACGGCTTCTTTAAATAATTGAAATGTTTTTTAATGCACTTTGTTATATTTTTATCAAAATTAACTTTTTTTTTATAAATGTAAAAACATTAGGTACTACTTTCATTAAAATTAAAATTTTCAAGGATGATTATTTGTAATAATGTATATATTTATTAATATTACTTAATTTAAAATAAAAGTTTATGTTAGTTTGATCAAAATGCAATTAATAACATTTCAGTTCCTAAGTTATTTAGGGGAAGCTAAGAAAACATACCCTTTGTGTTAATTTTATAATACTTAATTTGAAAGCAGGATGATTTGTAAGCCCATATATTTAAAAATACAAATAGATACAAACCATTGGTATGTGTTTAAACTGGAAATTCAAAGGCGGGGGTGCCAGCGTTTCCTCATACCCCCACCTTAAAAATGAGGCATAACTGGAAAACCGTTGAGGTACAAACGATTTTACTTGGGGTATAAACAGGTAAAAACGATTGGTGTAGGTTTCGAGTCAAAATTTGGAGGCGGGGTGCCGGACATTGAGCTCAATTGCGGTGTTACGTAAGAAATGTCAATTGATACACAATAAGATAAATAATTAACAACTTTCGTGAAAAATACGACATAACGCAAAAGAAAATAACTGAGAGCACAATAGTTTATTACTTACCACACGAAAGAGCCGACAAGGTGTGATACTTTGACATGCTCAATGCTAAATGTCAAGCGACGTCGAGCGAGCCGCGAATCGTACAGTACTATGTACCTACCCACATCACTACATCAGGGACTGGAACCGTACCGAAAAGAACCGGGTTTGGTACCGGAAACCTTTGAATTTTGGGAACCGGAACCTCACCGAAACCCTAATTTAAATTAATTTGAAAACCGGAACCCCACCGGAACCCTTATTTAAATTAATTTAAAAACCGAACTTTACCGGAACCGATATTCTTTTTTAAAGGCTTCTTACGATTAATTTCGATTTTTTAATAATTATTTTATTTTATTTGTCATTTTTATAATCATTATTATAAGGATTTATAATATTCAAAAATAATCATTCAAGTACCTATTAAATTGTAATTAAATATTAAAATATAATATATACTTAAAGATTTGAAATATAAATTAAGGAGATTTTGTAAAACACTTGAATATAACTGTTTTATTACAATATATTCAAGAATGAAATCTATTATCTTTTATTCCTTTTATTTTATTGTCTTTTGTGTTAAGTATAATTAATAAAAAAAATACAAAGTGATTAATTACAAATAATTCATGTTAACATGTAAAAAAAATATATAAATATAGATAATAAATAATATATAAAAAATTAAGTGTGGGAATACATAAAAGTAATAAAAGATAATAGATTTCATTCTTGAATATATTGTAATAAAACAGTTATATTCATGTGTTTCACAAAATCTCCTTAATTTATATTTCAAATCTTTAAGTATATTGATACGGTGTGTCCGGTTGGACGACCCGCGTCGTAAATAAAAAGAACGGTTGTTTGTTCAGTAATCAAGTATCTCTATTGCTATATAGAAGTATAGTTTATATTTACAATATTATGGACGAGTAAAGCGTCGATTTGTGCCCACCAGACTTATGTAAGTGAGTCGGCATAATCGAAGGCGCTTGGGTATTTGGTCGGGCAGCGCCGGACCCTATCTTTACAATGGAATAAGTTTAAGAATGTATATTTTACAAAGTGAAGGCTGGCATTTTCAACTCCTGCATCAAATTCTTGCCAAATTGAATTTTCTTTTCCAAAATTGTTTACCACAGCAGGCACACTTACATTTTCGTCTATGGTAGATCTAGACTGTGTGACTATACGTTTACCTTTGTTTATTATAATCTCCTTAATTTTTTTAAAAGACTGTTCATTCTGAAAGCCATATTTTTTGAACCGTGGGTCTAAAAATGTAGCCTCAGATAACAGTGGATTCGACTCGTACTGGAGATAAATTCCAAATCTTTTATTTATTTCCAATTTTAATTTATTGACCATATTAGCTACTTGAGGAGTTAGATCTATTGTTTGTAATTGTGTACTATATGTTATCAATGCTTGACTGTACAAAATTACTTTAGAAATTGATACACTT